AATTCTCTCGGTTCGATGGCTTCGAGACTGTTAATATATGTGTAAATTTCGACAGAAATGGAACTAATGACGGGACCAAACATTTAAAATTGTGCAAGTGAATTCCTTAAGGCTTGATGGCTGGTATCTGTCCATGCCGTGTAAATCTTAGCGTTAATCAAAAGACAGACCACAGTTTAATTTAATACCTATATAATTAATTGGAAGTAAATTCAATTGCCAGCAGAAACTTAAGGCAGCTTGATTTTTACCTGAATTTTGCATGACCCAATAAGTTTTTGTCTCCTGTTAGGTTTACAAATTTGGACGAATGCAGGTTAAAACGAAATGTTATAACGAAATGAATCTTCTGTGCCTCCTCTTGCTTCGCTAGCTGACTGTCACTGCTTTCTTAAATTCAAACAAAAATAAAATAAAAGACAAGATCACGAATTTAATTTCTATTTTTTTTTGTGTTCATTTATCTCAAATCGAATGCTATGCAATCGTGTTACTGTCTCATTTTAATACTGTGGTGAAATATTGGAACAATATTTCATGAAGTTTATGAAGTTTTTCATGAAGTGAGAAGAATAAAGAAATGTATTTGACTCATTTCTAATAGGAGATGATTTTCATAATTCTACATGATTCTACATGATTGTTTTACTCCTATTTGCTTGTTGTTAGTTCTTTATTGCCAATTATTAATAGTCACGAACGAAAATTCGGACCAGATTCTCAAAGTTAGGCTGAGGAGGCATGCTGTTCATATTATTTATGCACCTAATTAGTGATTAACTCCTAACAAAACCGCCTTGAATGGACACATTTCAGTGATCTTCAGCTGGTTCATTAATGACAATGTCAGAAATAATTTTTAAATCGGAATTTACGATTTTTGAGCTATTCCGATGTTAAAATATTCATACTTTTCAATATGAAATAATTTGCAAACATGTACAATAAAAAAGATCTAATGACAATAATTCAAAGAATTCCAAAGTCGATCAGACTTTTCGTATTTAATCTGAATTAGAAAATAGGTTGTTCATGCTCCTGTGGTTGGTTAATTTCATTGATAATCATAATTATTGGTGTTCAAGTGTATGTTTTAGTAAAGAGCAACGAGCCGATACTCTGGTACTATTATTAAGGAATATTTTCATTTTTATCATGAAATTGATCCTTGACATGAGAAATTCGAACCAAATCCATGGCAGTGAGCTGAGCACCATGGGTGGGCGGGCCTATACAGGAACAACAACATTAACGGTAATCTGAACAACAACAGTGAAAATAATGAATGAGATTTGAATGAAAGTAGTCTCATGTTTCTGCCATCCTTTCCACATGCAATTAAAAAAACAATATGGTAAAAACCCTCTTAGAAAATATAATAAAAAATATAATAGCTTTGCTGTTTATTTTATTGTAAGCTAACAATAAAATATCCAAACTTTTATCAAAATTATGGTGGATGTCGGGGTCATTCTCTTTGCTAATAAATTCTTGGTAAAGTCATCAATTGTAACGGAAGACCTGTAAATAAAAATCGGCCTCGCAGACGACTTTTATTGCCGACCTTACGGCTTAACGAACAAAGCGAGCTCAGAATTTTGACTTCAGCGCAGAACTGAAACTTATTTCACTCGTTATAAAAAATGTCGTTAAAATTCATGATCCGACTCAATAATTTTGTTAAAAAGACCTGCTGCAAAATGTGAGAACATGGGTTTAGTTTAGTTTATCAATTATTAGTTCACGTTGAGATAAATTGAGATTTCTACGCAATGTTATTCAAGAATTTAAACCCAGCATGAAAGGTTAACGCTGCGTGTTTAAGCTTCTGATTCTTATCAGAGAAAATAAAATTCACCTCTTGAAAAAACCTTCCGCGTTCTGACTCGGTGTTTAGGTTCGAAAATAATGACCTATGCTGTAAAGGTTCAATATTATTGACCTAAATTTAGCCGGTAGGTCAACCTTATCATGGATGATGGCATTTCCCTATACTGCAGTCTATTCACGATTTCCCAATTATTGATATTTAACGAACACGTTGAGAACAGCAAACGCTGTAGTTTCTGCCGTTTATTTTTCACGCATGCAAGGTTTGATCACTTTATAAAATAATTTTAACTTGTTTATGCATGCGATGAGCGAAATGACTTAGTTCTACGATGCGCATTCCAAATGAAACTATTATTTATTTTAAGAGAAATTAACTATTTTATTATTATTTATTTAGTAAGATATCATAGGATATCCGAATGTGGCTGTGAATTAAATTCCTAAGTGCAAAATTATTATATTGTGGCAATAGGATCCAATAATTGATTTAAATGAGGAATTTTTTTATTTTCAATTCGAAATTTACATCACATGACGAAACGTTTCAGTGACGGGAATATTTTTGTTCAAATTGTTCAGACACCGCATGAATCTCACCCGAGTCAGGCCTCAGGCATCGGGTTTTCATCAATCAGTTCTTCAAACATTTTTTTTTCTAGACGTCGGTATATTTTCGTAAGTAATTACTGCATGAAATCAAGATCTAGAATCGTATCCGCCATATATGGAGATGGTAAATGCATTCCGACATCTGGCTGGTGAATGTTGTGCATTTTTTGATAACGTTTGTTATTTAAAAACGTTGTTTGTTACTACGTGACAGACGAACAATTAAGTACCTGCAATTGAAATTGAGCACTTGATATAATCGAAATCAGCTAACACAGCTGTGAAAAAAATGTCTAAATGCGTAGTCAAGTTTATTTAGTCAAAAAATACGAAAGAACCTCATATAAGATGAAAAAGAAACATTTTTTATGTATAGTGATAGCATTCAGTTGCATCAGTGAGTGGAGTGAAGTTAAATGCTCAGGAGGAAACATTTTTTGAGAGCCGATGAGAAGTTCGGCAACTATTCCTAAAGAGAATATTTTCAGGAAAAATTAATTTATTGATCTAAATTACTTTTCATCTTCACTTGAATTATGATTACCTAAACAATCTGGTCCATCGTTCATCAGCTATTGTATAACATGAGAACGTGCTCAACATGACGTTGAAAATTCATAAGTTGACTTCAGAGAAAAATGTGACACAGTAGCCTAGAAAATACTTCATATTTGGACGTCACGTCTAGGTTTATTACACAATATCCGCGGCCAGACATGAAAACGCTTGTAATACACAAAATTAATAGAATGATATTTTTCTTAATTTTATTATAAGGCAGGTTGAATTTTCACAATTAGATAACATGCCTGATTATTACAACACTTCTCTTTAACTTCAGTTCTTGTTGTTTGTCTGTCTGCTACAAATCTTATAATCGATATTCAACACACTTCTACCATTCCCACCGATCTGAAATTTTGCACACTTGCGTGAAGTTGGAGACAATGAATGAATCAGTTGACAGAATATATCATTTTAAAAATATAAAAAAGTTGGAAAAAATAATTTTATATTCTACAAATCTTATAATCGATAAACACACTTCTACCTGTCCAATCGATCTGAAATTTTCCACACTTGCCTAAAGTCGGAGGCAATGCATGAATCAATTGACAGAGTTAATAATTTTGAGAATTTTAATTTTTTACTTCTAAAAATAAAATTCAAAAATTAATTGTTGTAATATTTTACTATAAAATTAGAAATTCATTGTACGTATGTAAAATCGAAGACACTGAATTCTTTAGAAGTGTTGTCTTTAAAAAGTAATTTTTAAATGCATATTATTTTTCAACTGAATATATGACCACGATCGAGTAACGGATGTGAGGGGTATTTTGGAGGTACCGTCTTATTGACGGATTTTCATTTGACGATATGTTAGGTAACTCGAATAGGCTTTTTTTTTCTTGGTTTGGAGATAAATGAGCAAAAGCCTAACGTTAAACTTAAATTTTGAAAATTGTTCAAGAACTCCTAGCGTAACTAAACATGGAGCAACAAAAATAAGAACGAATCTTGGATAATAAGTTTAAAAGTTCCGTACCTACTATGCATCCAATCATAACACGGAGAATAGCACGACTAACAACGAATTCGATTTTGATAACACTGCTGGTGTCAGAGCTTCATCGGAAAGTCTCAAACGATATTCTGAAGCATTCCACGGGAAATTGATTTAATGGCTTAAATCAATTAAAATATTTTTTTTTCTGTATATTATAAGTATCCGCAAATACTTTAGAGAAACCAAAATAGAAGCTCAATTATCAATTTTATCCTCCATCATTTAGAACAGAAAAATATTAGATTTTTACATGCAAGGCCTTATTATTCAAATTGAGGTCGCTCATCCTGTATCACAAAAAGCGTTTTTCAACCAAATTAAGGTTAGTAAAACAGCCATGCATTATATTTTATGTTCTTTGTCAAACATTGTCTCCGACGCCCTTCGCTTTTGCCTCAGGCTGCGTCATTTGCCTCGTAATCATATTTGTCGCGAATCATTTGCTGATCCCAAATTTTATTATTTTTTACTCAGTCACAGAAGTTGTAATATTTCTGCCAGGAATGTTTATCCTGAAATCAATGTTGATAGAATTTTTTATTGAAAGGATTTTGAACTTCAGAGTTAGATTCCTTCATTTTGATAAAGGAATTCAACATTCGTAAAAGATATCGTACATTTGTACACTATATCGCACATTCGTAAAATATATCATACATTTATATAACATATATCATACATTCATACAAGATATCGTACATTCGTACAACATATCGTACATTCGTACACTATATCGCACATTCGTAAAATATATCATACATTTATACAACACATATCATACATTCGTACAACATATCGTACATTCGTACATTAAAAACACCCTAATTTCCTGAGGATTTCCAAGGAAACAAAACGTATTATGCAGTCACAGGTTGGCGAGAAGTGACCGCCATGCTGCGGTACGCCAGTAACCGGGCGAGGGCATCAGAAAAAAACCCGCGTGCAGGTCAGTATAAAAGCCTCGGCCCTGCCCCTGCTGGACCATTTACCCCAGACAGCTCCCCCCACGATGTGCAACCTCGTGAGTAGATTATTGAGCATTTATGAAGACGTGAAGTGAATTGATATAACCGAGGCTATTCTTTTACCAATAGTTGCATGATGCAATGATCTGAGAAATCACGATCGTTAAACATACTCTCTAAAACACATTTATATCGGAGTTCTAATGAGTTTCGATCGATGAATAAAGTGAATTTTGGGTAAACTAATATCGTAATAAATGTTCTAAAAATCTGTAAAGTGTGTAGGACTCACATAAACTCGACCAAATTTTCGTAGACTTGTGTGTTAATTTTTCTAGACTTAATTATACACTACAACCTATGCTCCTAAAAAAAGCATGGTAAAATTAAAAACTGATTTCACGCAGTGATCGACTGTAAATAAACGTTTTAAACACGGGAAAATAAATCAATTATATGAAACATGAATGAATTAAATCTAAGGTTAAAAGTGTGTAAATTATGTATTGTAGTCTAACCCTGGAGTTCATTCCCATGAGATGCAAGGCTGGAACATTAGAAGGATTTTTTGTTTATGGAATCATATTTGATGAAGTTAATGATGGTTTTTATTCGTAATTGATTATGTGAGCAAATAACTCAATTTACGGACATACTCAATGAATGGGAAACCATATGAACTTGAAAGTGCCAGGTTTTTACACGGAATGACTAAACTTTATCGACGGTGACCAAGCAGTTTCAGACTGTACCCGAAACATGTGATCTTGCTCGCTATTTTTATCTGTAAATTCAAGTAACAAATAATAAAAATATGATCCATAGCTCGAAGTTTGTATCTAACTGTCGTATTTCCGATGGCGTTTTCCTTTATCAAGTAAACGGCAAGCAGGGTTAAAGCGAAACGGTAACGAAGGAAGATAATGGGATAATTGAGCATATGCTACCGAATATACAGTGCGGAATTGTGTCAGGATAGAATGAGCAATTGTAGGAAAATAAATCCGAAAATAAAAAAAGGTATTTTTATAAGATAAAAATCAAAAGTTTTTTGGTCATAGATACATTTTAAAAGTTATATGGGAATTGAATTCCGCTATGAAATGCGAATTATAAACATTTCATATGGGAGAAATTATAAATGAATTATAAATAATATCCACAAAGGCCTGACTATAGTAATTGTCTCATGCGATCCTAAAATTGAAAATATCAGAACGACTTCTGATTTGTTTGAAAATAAATAACTTAAAACAATTATGCAATTTTATAGCAAAAAATCTCCGCGAAAATCCACTAATCCACTAATGTTTAAAGGAAATGGTTATTGAAATTTATTGAATTTCTAGGCATTTTATTTGGTTTTAACTTTCAGGTAATTTGAGTGTCAAACAATAGTTTGACAATAATAATAGAAAATAATTTCCCCAGTTTTGGACTGATTTAAATACTATAGGAAATTTAAACATTACCTGTCAAGGCAAGCGCGTTACTTTCTTATAGGCACAGTTTAACGTTAGGGAAAGTATTCTTATTCGAGTAAACTATAGTGGAAGTAGGAGTATTTTACGTTCTTTTTATCGTCAAAAATTGTAAAAAATAATCACCTAACGGATAATTTTTTTGCAAACGACTCCACGTCAGGTTGGTTGGTCGCCAAAAGAAAGTTGTACATTATTCGTAGCTTGAAGGACTGAAGAAGCATTCTCTTGTTTCAAGTGCGTTTTTGCTCTAAGTTGTGGAAGCTCTCAGAAGTCACTTTCTTTTATCTACTGCAGGAGACCAAGCTCCTGAAAGTTTTCGTTCAAAGTAAATTTCTTCACTTTGGTTAATTATTTTTATGACTTTATTAAAGCCCATTGTATATTTCGAACTGTGAAGTAAACAAAAAATTAGGTCAATTTTTTGAGCTCTTCTGTAATTATATAACGTTAAAATCGGCCTATACTCATTTAAATTGCAAAAAGGTTTGAATTATTCGAATAATTGTTAATACTTCCATGAATTTCAGCTCTTGTAATTAAAATTTTTCTATAGGGCCACTGAGCAGTAAAAACATGATAAATAACTTTCAATAAGGATAAATTTCATGCGATCAACTTTGCACATGTCGACTTTATAAAAAATTAAAGAAACTAATTATTACGAACGATTTGGATGCGCTAAAAGTATTGAACGTCCCAACTTCCAGGTTAAATGATATCCAACGTGTTAAAATTTACCCAATCAATATGCCTTGAGATTGAAGAAAAAAACAGGTAAAAAAACACATTCGATGCAATCGTCCGCGGAAGTGAGCGCGTATTTGCCGTCTCTGAAAGTTATGCCTCTTACTTTCAGAATTCAGGTCCAGGTTGCTTCTGTGGCATTTTTGACGACGCCATAAATATTTCTAGAAATACGTGCAATTCTGAACCACTGGAGAATCGCGCAAAATGAATTAGAATTACACTACGATGCAATTTTGTACAGCAAATTTCCACAAGAAAGTCTTTTTTTCCATAAAAATCAAGTGAAAATATTTCAATAGAGATTGAGTCTAGTACGAACCACCAATTAAACAATGAAAAATACGATAATCAAACTTCTAGAGAATTCTAAGAATTTGTGGGAAGCGATCAAAAAGAAGTATCGGCAGCCCACTCGATCAATAACTGCCAATTGTCATAATTTATAATAGAATGAGAGACTTCCGACTTCATCAATGTATGACTCGCACTTAATTTCCCTTTACTAAAGTTAAACTCAGGATAATCTCCTTAAACATACCTCAGAACAAATTTTATTCTCTAGGGAGATGGCCTTGTAACTTTCACTCGAGAACTTAGAACACTCGGAGACGTCCAAACAAGTTTTTTGATTTACTGTAACAGTCCATTTGCCTTCAGCGGAATCTGGTCTTATGGATGCGCATTAAGCTAGGCCGGGGCTGGCGTTCACCTCGCCTCGTATACGCGTTTGTAACCAATAATTAAATCGCTACGATAATTAATGACCCACTGCCTTTATCTAATATTAGTCACCTCCATATATAAAGTGAGCAAAAATTTATTTCGAATGAACTAGCGCGAACCGCTGACCACATATAAATTGGTTGAAAACTATTTACAAACGCATTCGGATGAATCACTGACCATATCTGGATAAATTGTAAATAATTGCGATTGAAGTCACAAATAAGTTTTTATACAAAGTTTCAGTCAAGCATAGATGAATTAAAATGAAATATTGATTAATGAACTAGAATTTTGAATCTAAATATGAATAATTTATAGAAGTATTTTAGAGCGAGACTCCCAATCAATTTTCAAATTCATGAACTGAGGTTTCGTTAAACATTCCCACAGTAAGCTGAATGGAAGAGACAATCAGTGTGAGATAATAGAAAAATAAATAAAATGAGAATCAATAATAAATCCTAATAACCTCAAGTAATTAAAACGATAAACAGGAGAATAATTTCATCATAGTTATTAAAATGGAAGATTTTCCCCACTGGCATGTGAAGTTCAATGCAGCTCTAAACTAAAAATATCGTGCAAATTTTGAAAACGAATTTTTAATCTATTCGTGGTATTTTTAAATAAACTAATGCTAAAAAAAATTAGTTCTGATTTGGGAAAAGAAAGTTGTTATAGATTTTAAATAATATCAATCAGCAAGTTTTTCATCATAACATAACATAACATAACATAGTGATGTCGGCTCTGAAGTGTAGGCCTGATGTGGCCTGTCGCCGATTCTTTTGGGGAGGGTATAGGAAGGCGAGGCCTGAGCGCAGTCAAGGCAGCGATTGTTCTCGGGTTACCGGCAGTCGCCGAGGGTTTTCAAAAACGTGCCCTCGTTTCACGCACTAGAATTTGTCGGGAATAAAACACTTGTACTAGCCGTTTTTCTCACTATTCGCACAATTTTGATTGAACTGCACTAACATTGAACCTTTCACTGAAATCGTTTCGGTACAAAATTCGCGAGATAAGTCAAACCGGCATAGTAAGAAGTGAGAAAGTTGGGGGATCATGTTATAAAATGCTATTAACTGTATAGAATTTTTTTTGTAGAAAATAACTAATTCAATTTCAATTTTTTGTTCCAATTCTGGCTCATTTAAACCCCGTGAAATTTATTTTAAATAAGTTTTCGTAAATATTTCATGCAAAATGTACTGTTCAGCCAAAACTATTGATATTTACTTCGTTGTGAATTTCGTTCCAGTCACAATGTACAACAAAGTTCTAGTGAATAATTTTTTTTCAGTTTCTGGTGTTGCTGCTGGCGTGCGCAGCATGGGCTGCGCCAGGAGGATACGGCTATGGACCCTCAATGTCGGCAGGATACGGTGCTCCACCCTCAATGTCAGCAGGATATGGCTCTGGACCTTCAAGACCAGGAATCATAACTCACTTGCAACCAGTTGTCCTTCGAGAGGACCTTGACTTATCCGGGGAAAATAAAGTTGAAGTTAAGCTAAATGCAGACGACGAGGTGAAGACCCTTGCCCAAGTTGAAGTTAAGTCTGAGGTTGACGACGCCGTCGATAGTGGTGCACAAGTCGAAACCAAGCAAGAGGTTGAAGATGCAGTGGTCGTTCATGCCAAAGCCGGAGGCCAGCTTGAGGCTGAACAAGCAGAAGGCTCTCTTGCCGAAGTCGGAGGCGAGCTTGAGACTGGAAACACAGGAGACGAACATGTCAAAGTTGAAGGCAAATTTGAGGGTGGTGATGCAGGCGAAGCTCGTGCTAAAGTTGAGGAGGTATCGGGTCCTGAAATCAGTGTCAAGGAATCAGGAGATGGCGGAAAAAAAGGTACTTCTGTGGCCGTGAAATTATCGAATGATGATAGTGCTATTGGTGAAGCTGAAATTGCCTCAAAGGACTGTGGTTCTGGGGAAGTTCGTCGATTAGATGGGAAGTGTGTCGTACCAAATATTAACCGGCTCACATACCTGTACCAAGCACCAAGCTTTGCCTACAAAAAACCGGCGCCAGCTAAAATTCCAAATCCAGAAGTCGACCTCAGCATGGTTTTCGTCAGAGTACCAAGTGCGATTATTGACCGTGATCCTTTGGTCATACCACCTCCTCAGCAGAAAACGGCAGTCTACTTGTTGCGGCAACACCACGCGGTCACATCTCCCAAGATAGTAGAATTGCCGTTCAAGAATCAAGATCCAGAAGTATACTTTGTCAATTACAACGAGGGTGACAATCTTGATCTTCCAGGAGGAATAGATTTGAGCACCGCACTTAAAAGCTCGTTGCTTCAGGGGACAGTGATTGGGGACGGCATCGGAGGAGGAGCTACCGTCAGGACCGCGGTTGTGGAATCTAATGTAGCCAGTGGTGGAGGGATCGTTGCTGACGTTGGGGAAGATGATGGCGCTACACTTTCTTTAGCTAATGGCGGTGGTGATGGCGTAGGACACGGTGGAGGTGGTGACGGTGGCGGAGATGGGGGAAATGGCGATGTTGGAGGTGGAGACGAAGCTCAACCAGAAGTTTCCGAAGTAAGAATTTTGGAGGGAGGTGCTGTTGCTGGTGCCCCTGCAGAAGCCGCTGAAGGTGAGAACAAAATTTTGAGCGAAAGCAAACCGAGTGAGTCTCGTGTTAGCGATGCTAAGACTGAAATTGAAACTAAAGTAGCTAGTGATGATGCAAAAGTTGTGGAACAGGAATCTGTTGGCGGAGACAGCGATGTAGGTGGTTCGTTCGACGCTAGTGGTTTAAATATACAATTAGGAGAAAGGCTGAGTTTAGATGAGTTTGTGGAAGGTCTTGGCATTGGTGACGGGACAAAGTTAGGTTCATCCTCATTTCAGCGCGGCGTGCCAATAATTCACAAATCTCTTCCTCTCTCGAACAAAGTCGCTGCCATTCGCATCGCGAGTGCTGCGTCTGAAGGAGATGGGGCTGATGCAGAGGGAGCAGTAATCAAGGAAGTTGAAGCAGAGGGAAAAGCAGCTGAAGCCGTTGGTGAGGTTGAATTGAGATCTGGAGATGGCGGTGATGGTGGAGATTTGAAAAGCGGAGACGGGGGTAAAAGTGGTGATGAAGGAGTGAACGGTGCTGAGGGAGGTGCTGGTGGTGGTGAACCAGGAGATGTTGAAGCCAAAATAAGTGATGGAGGAAAAGATAGTAAGAAGGATGGTGGGAATGGTGGAAAAGATGAAGGCGTTAAAGGTAATGAAGGAGGTGAGGGTGAAGAAGAAGGTGGAGAAGCTGAAGGAGAAGGTGGAGAAGGCGAAGGAGAGGGTGGAGAAGAAGGCGAAGAAGAGGGTGAAGAAAAGGGTGGGGAAGGCAAAAAAGAGAAAAATGGAAAGAAAAAAGAAGGTGATGGTGAAGCGGAAGGAGAATCTGGCAAGGGTAAATCGTTGCTCAGTGGTCCACGCATGTCAAATGAAATCATCAAGGGGACACCACTGATCTTGGATCAGAAAACCCGAAGTGAGAAGCCTGTCTTAGATTTGGCTGCAGCTAGCAGCCCTACAGGGAAAAGAGGAACGGCTGAAATTGTTAGAGTGCAGCCGGTTGGTTTCGGCCAATCATCAAATGTTCAGGGTCAGATATTTCCATCAACAATAACCCGGTTAGGTGGGGGCACGTCCCTGGCGGGTCTCATTTCGGGTTTGGGAGGTGGCTCGTCGCAGTCGAATTTTGGAGGTGGTTCTTCGTTTAGATTTCTTCAGCAATCCGCATTAGGAGGCCGAGAATTTTCCCGTGGTAACGTTCGAGTTTCATCACTTCAGCCAAACTCACAAAGTCTTTTCGGTCTTGCACCGTCCGTGCTGGGGCCATTCACAGGAGCGACCAGGCCACAGTTCGGCGCTCAATTGGGAAAGAGTGTAGGGAAATCATCACAAGGATTTTTGGGGAGCCGGATCAATGTTGGAAACATTGGAAAAAGCCTATCACCTGCAAGTTCTTTTCAATTAGCATTTAACCCGAACGTTGCACAAGCATCTCGCGCTTTTGGACAGAATGCTGGCAGGAGTCTAGATGCTTCAAATATTTTACTAGGAGAGTCTCGTCAACCATCTCCAGCTCAATTCCAATCTACAGAGCAAAACGACTTGGAAGGTCGAGCTAAACCAGCCAAATTTTTGGGAAGCGCCACACTTGTTCAAAAACCTGAGGTTTCCTTATCCGCGCAAAGCTTGCCTGAACCTGAATTCAGGCAAACAATTCCCGGACCGGTCTCATCGGCACAAACAATTCAAGTTTCTCCGAAGTCGCAGTCAAACTCACTCGCTAGAGCTAGCCAGAGACAACCATCAAGTGCTCTTTCCTCGAGGAGTCAGAGAGTCCTCATCAACTCTGGGCCGAGACAAACAACTGGGGCTCTTTCCTCGAGTCAAAGATTTGCCTCCAGTTCTGGTAAGAGTTCAAGTGCTATTTCTTTGAATCAAAAAGTTTCTTCCAATTCTGGGAAAAGTCTTTCATCATCCCGTTCAAGCTTTCAAAAAGCCCATGGAAGAAAATCTGAAACGGTAGACAGTACAAGATCTATTGGAAAATCTCTCTCAAGCGATTCTCCGAGATTTACTGTGGTTCCCGTACGCAAATCAAAGAGTAAGAAGGCACAATTTAGAGCAAGATCCTAAATAAAGAAATATTATCTCCCTTGATAGTTTACTCGTTTTAGAAATTTAGATTCATAAATAAATGTGTTTGTTGTTCTTCAGCGTACATAGCAACTTATGGAAATTCTTTTACCTTACATCGCTATAGGTAAATATGTTGATTTTAACCTAACAAAATAACTATTGTTCTAGTTAGAACAAGATGAAAACGAAAAATTCAAACAAAAAATTTTACATTTCATAGAAAGGTATTCCTGTTACTTGAACTGATACTAGTCGAAACATTTTTTCTGTAACAGAACGCCTGTCCCACGTGCATGGAAATAGTTCAATCCTGTTTGTTAACTGTGCCAACTTACCTAGGAGTTTTCTAAATAAATATAAGTTACACGTCTATCGCCTTCATTATCCTAATCATGGATTTATTCCAGTCAATTAATTTCATCCAGTCACTATCACAAGTCCGTCAGAATAATATCCAGATTTTGATCATTACTCGGCCATTAAAAATTAAATTAAATAATCATCGCAAATTCCTACAAAAATGAAAATAAAATCGTTAGTTTGAAAAAACAAGCTTATTTGTTAATAATTGGATGAGAGGAACAATGCAATTTCAATTACAATTACTATATATAAATTGATTACACAGCATTTCGCTATTTTATTTTCGTTGTAAGGGGTCGAAATCTTCTGTAAATATATGAAATGTAGTCAAAAGAAAATATTATAGGGTAAACATGAAAAATAAAGCTTCGCAATGTAATGCAATAATAATATTCCTGAATAAGCTTTTCAAGCATTACAATATTCTCGTGAGATGAGCTATAAAAATTGTTTGTGACTTCTTGAAAATACTAAATGTTCCAGATTTCCAACTTCAAAGTTTATATTTTATGTGGTCTCTGATGCGTATTAAATAATCGGATATATCAATAATGAAAAGTTATGGTCATTTATATCTCAAAGCGCAGTTTTACAGTTTACAGTTTATTAAACGAAGACGCAAAATTTTAAATAAAAATCCTTTTAAAAACATGTATACTAATATTGTGGCATCAATTGCGATTTATTTTGTTTTTATTTACCAACAAAACAGCCAGCCGTGCTGTTCTTTCAATAATTATTAATTTTATAACTGGAAGTTTCTATTGAATCACTTTGGTATAATAAAATGGTGCAAAATAAGAAAAAACACGAGAAACTCTTCCATTATCCGATAGGGTTAACTTTAGTTATACTGATGTTTTAGTGACGAATTTATAGGCAACAAATTCAATTTTACTCTTCCATAAAGTTAGGAGCTGTCCGAATTTCGAACAATTAAGGTCCCACTCGAGCAGGTATTGCGGTTTATCCAATTCAGGCAAATTGTAGAAGTATAAATTTATGGAAATACCTTACATTCGTATAGCAAATATTTTCTAATATTGCAATGATTGCACTGTTGTTTCCTTTGAAACACGCAAACTACGAATTTTAACGGTATTAAGGAAATTAAGGAGCCGCGAAATTACTACAACCAGCTAATTATATAATTCTAATCATTTCTTGTCTCCAAACATGACCCCACCATGACCATATTATAAAGTATATTATAATACTTTTAGTATTATAATATATTCTGAAGTGTGTGACGGATGGGAGTAGATAATATTAAGAAATGTGTGAATACGGTTGAAGATATTCAACCACATGCTAGGTAGACGCTTCCCAAAGGGTGAGTAGTGCACTTTCAACCTAATTTTCTTCAAATTTACTAAGTAAAAAATACATCTTTAATTATTAATAGGTCCATATAAATGTATGGAGGTGACTAAATATGTGCTAAGCATTGTTAAAGAGGCCGATGAAGCGAAGAGGTGGTGTGTTTGGGACAATTAACCTGATCGATTTAAAGAAAAAACACTTTATTATAATATTTTATGGGTGCCATTTCGTTGAATTTTAGCTTTTTGTTGAGAATAAAAATTATTAATGATGCGTGGAATATTCATTGCAAAATTGCCACCTAGAACATGAAGCATATATTAATATCACACCCAAGTGAGTTAACAGACTGCTATCACACAAAAGAAATCATCATTAGCAATGGAAATAATTTATATTCTATCAGTAGAACTAATTACGTTAATACCACAAAAAATATTTTATTTAGCATAATAATCTAAATAAATAGCATAACATTATTGGCAGAAAAATTAGCGTAAATAATCTAAATAAATAGTATAAAATAAGTGGAAGAAAAATTACCACAATGGCGGGTTTCGCGAAGTGGCCTTCCCAAAACTTGAAGCAAGATACGGAATTGTCATTCAAAATTAATACAAAACGACATCCAAACGGAACAATTATAGCCGAAAATAAATCATATAAATCAGATCTAAAATTATCGGAACGAAAAATTTGCCAGGGATATAATTATGATCAAATTTAATAATGCATACCTTAAGCAATCATAAATTTTGAAGATTGGACTAAGATTTATAAATGCACTCGATAAATTAAACTATTATTAAACTAACAATCTTTAAATCTAACAAATTTTCTCTGAAAAATATATATTTTATTTACAAATTACGCTCTACGTAGAAAAATGCAAACGTATTCTTTCAATCGAATTTTTTTTCATCAAATCAGCCTGTTTAAGCGCATCAAGCGCTGCCTTAAAACGACTTTCGCTAAGGCAACATGAAATATTAGTCCCGAATCTCTCGATTAAATGATTAGACCTTTAAGTGTTGTGCGTGCTTCCATCAAATCCGTCAAAAATGTAACTTCATTATTTAATTTTAGATTTTACCGGAGGGACGAAATCCCACTGCGCTGGCTCCAACTTTTGTATAAGTGGGGGCAAATTTTCTTGGTTCCCAAGTGTAGCTGTTCCGTCATTCCCGTTGAACTGAATGTTGCTCGTTACCGGCGCGTACTGCCCTCTGCCTTGCACGGGAACGAAGTCTTCGGCTACTGAACTTGGGGACTGTCCACTCGATAGGCTGGAAGAAGGCTTGAAACTTCCTCTTGTTTGGGAAACGTTGCGAGGAGGGACTTCTTGATACGCTGGTTTGAAGGCATAAGGAAGCGAAGCGACACTTCCCTGTCGCTTTGCTTTTTCAATGCTGAGCGAATTTTGTTGCTTCAGTTCGACAGGCTGTAGCGGTTGAACCACAGTGGATGAATCTTGCAGTAGATTGTTTGATGGAGTTTCATATTGATTAGGCGTTGAAGGCAAGGATATGTTCTGTAATTTTGGAAAAGTGCCTATGTGGCTTGCGTTGCGGCTGTGGAAGTCATTCCATGGCACACCGTAATGATTTTCGTACGACTGTTTTACTGAGGCTTTAAACAGTGTATCAGTTTTATGAGGTACTGTGTGATGATCGAAATAAAGGGTTGACTGATTTCTCTCCTCAAAAGCATTAACACCTCGAGTCACAAATTGATTTTGAGTTGAAAAAGGTGACTGCTGTTGAACGCTTACAATGCTCTGATACTGATCAGTTGGTTGCGTTTCGTACAGGGTTGAGGGTATACCTCGTCGAACTGTGCTTTTACTGAAAGAATTTCTTTGGCTGTAATCTTCTGAGCTGTAATCTTGCGAATATTGCGAGAGAAAATTTCCTTGTTGAGGTAGGACAATTGCATCAGATGACAATGAATGTCCTAGAGAAGGAGTTTGACTCAAAGCTGTTTGTAGGTCGATTCCTCCAGGTAAAATGGGATTTTCACCGGATCCATAGTTCACGAAGAACACTTCTGGTTCTGTGGGTCCTTGTTCTGGAACCTGAATAAGCTGCTGGTTTATAGTAGGACGTTTACTCAATACATATACAACTGTTTTTTGTTCGATGGCAGGAACAACAAGGGGTTTAGGGTGAACATCATTGGGGTGAGTCTTGACGAACACTACGTTTAGATCTAGTTTAGGCTCAGGAGCTTTAGCCGGGAGAACTTGTCGTCTGTATTTTGGAGCTGTAAAGGCATAAACGTTTTTGGTGATGTGTGCTCTCTCGCATCTTCCATGAGCTCCAACGACTTCGTTGGGACCACAATATTGTAATTGTCGCTCCGTGATCCGGCCTTCGTCGCGGCGCTGCGGCGTTGCTTTTTTGCGGACGTAAAGTCGGTGGACCACCGGGCGGAGACGGGGTGTGCGGCTTCGGCTGATTCCGGGTTGGTCGCTCGGAAGACCAGCAGCAATAGCAAATGATAATGCCAACAGGAATATCTGGAATATGGAAAAAATTAGAGTAACTGAGCAATAACATTATTGATCATAGAATGATAATATATTGAACCAAGATTTATTCCCACTCGATAAACAAAACACAAATCACAAAAAAATAATAACAAATTATTGTTTGAATTTGAGTACAGCGTTTGTCAAATTGAGCAAATAATACTCATATGGTGTCGGCTCTTTTGGTCAGTAGACTTTTTAACGTGTTTTCTTATGGATACAAAATCTTAAAAGTTTTAAAATTGTAGACACAGCGTTCACAAAAATGCTGTGCTCACAGATAAAACAGGATGTGTTGAAATATCCTATAGGACATCAAATTTGTATCGATTTGATTAAAATCTGCACATTACCTCATATAGAATTTTTTAATTCAGTAAATATGTAGCTCTTTTAGTAGGTAGTTGCCTTGCATTAAAGATTAAATAAAGTTTAACTTATGCATCCGTTTTAAATGCCATGGCTGAGAGTCAAGAAAACATTGAGGAGTAATGAGAAATAAGTCAGCGGATGTTAATTTTTTTGACGTCTTCTTGAGAGGTTGTCGCATTGCCAGAGATAAATATTAATATGTAGGACTTTTCTTCTTGATTTCCAAGATTTATTTAAACTTTTAAAAAATTACTTGTAAGAATTTGCCGACGAACGTGCTAACGCGCACGGCCGCTTGGTCAGAGCTGAGACCTGCTTTCTCCAAATGCCCGCGTTTCGAGAGCAGAAACTCGTTACGGTGGATGACTTGATTTTTACAGAACCCGCACTCACTCTATTGGCTTGCTATTAAAATGTTAGGATCAGTTGCGATTAAATAACGATAATAAAGTGACAAATAGTTCAACACGAATTTCTTGTATGAAAAATTACTTTATTTTATGGGCATACCAAAATTATTTTGTATTCCTATGCATGGGACTCCTAAATAAAAAATTTTGGACACTTGGTTGTAATTACAATTTAAGAGTGGGTTCTGTGAATATTTTGCTGTCATGGCACCTCAGAATAATGCAGTTTTTGAAGCTCGAAACTCCTTTTTTTCGCCTAAGCCCCTGCAGGCTAAATCTGCAGTTAACGATTTTCTTCGTTCGATTCTAGTTCAGTTGGTCAGATAGTTCAGCATAAGGGCCTTCTGGTATTTTCGTGGGTAGAATTCTATACAATATATGATCGGTTCTGTTAAGATGTTGCTGTACGTTGTTTCATTTTTTGATAACGTATACTCGTCTCTTCTGAGACCTTTCTAAAGTAGGATTTTCATTGTACTAAGACCTACGATGTACTTAGATTAGTGATTGTCATTCCGTGGTGAACAATGACGAGAAATGACATGGTATAGGAATTCTAAGAATGTTCTGAAATAAATATGAAAATTCATTACGGACCTACGTTGTATTCTTTTTCGTCGAATCCGTTGATGTAAAATATCTCCGCTCGATTGTGTTGCTGATGGACAAATGTTATAGGGAATATCGATGTAACGAAAGACACGTGTATCCACTTGACAGTCAACGACGTTCTATCCGTTAATTAGCATTTAATCCGTTCTATTAGCATTTAATGATGGTTCTTCCGTAATTTTTAATATAATACAATAAGTATATTTGGCTATTAGAGAAAGCACATCCCGTTTTCATTATATCTCATGTACGAGAAAGCCGCGGAGAAGCCGGTGTACAGTCTCCCAAACACGAGCCTCAGTGACTTGCACGATTGGTTTTTATAATAGCTTTTTTAGCAGTAGGAGAGACCCGTGAGCAAAAACCGGTGAACCATATAGAGTTTCTTAGATAAACTCATTGAGCCGTTCAGGTTAGGTTGATCTGGTCTTGGAGGTGCTTTCGAAGGGCTAAGGAATGTTGCTGTCATTTTTCTCTTATAAGCACGAATTATTTATATTTTATTATATTATTTTTCTCTCTTATTTCGCGAATTATTATTATTATTTTTTTTTATTATTTCGCGAATTATTTTTCTCTCTTATAAGCGAGTCATTATTTAAATTCGCGCATTTAAAATAGCATGTTTTATACGCAGCTCTTTTTCCTGTTAAATAGACTTCTGTTCATAAAAACATTTTTTTTATTAGTGAGGAATTGGTAATAAATGATGAATCTTTTAAATTTAGAGACAAGGACTCATTTAGATTTAGAGGAACGATAGATAAGAACAGCATTTAGAGGAACGATAAAATTAAGAAATAAATTCGAATTGAAAAGGGTTGCGTTTGAAATTTCAAAAGAAAAGATACTATCATACGCGAATTCACTTTGATCAAAAAGAAAGATTAAACTCTGGAATTAGTTCGATACAATGCATATCTTTCAACAATATATGTTCTCTCAACTTTGCCTCGTAGTAAAACTGCTCTGTTTTGAATAAAAGTTTTCCTGTATAGACTTCAGTACAAGCCTGTGTAGAGATTCATGAAAATGAAATGCCCAACTCAAAATGCTTGAATTACAGATTAAGCAAAAATTCATGTCGGGAGATCATAGCCATAATTGCTTTCCTGATTTTCGGCGACGTTATCAATTTAGGCGGGTCGAGCCTATAGGATCTACGATGCGGGCGAGGAAAATATTTTTTTTTTGCGCAAGGAAGCGAATTAGAAATTTTTTAAACAATATTCCCTAGTATAAGTTCTTTGATGTTATTTATTCATTGATAAATTAATTGCTAGACTTTTTGATTATTTGAATATTAGAAGTCTCGGAAGCGAAAGGGAAATTTTCTTTTAATGATCACAAGGCTGAACCTTATTCAAAATCATATTATTTAGCAGATTCCGAGTTGCAATAGAGTTTTAATTTTTCGTTCGCAAGGAATAGGCTGCTATCAAATGCTTACTGTATGATGTCAACGATGCTCTATTGCTAATTATTATTCAATAAGCATTGTAACTTAATTGCTATATAATGTGCACTTATATATCCCGATGATGACCGTTCTTATTAAGTATTCTTAAATTTAATAGTCCTTCTTTAATCATATAGTTTGTTTGAACAACAGAACTGTTTCCCTTGAGATGAACAGTTTTGAAATTCTTTTTCGTAATGCACGTAAAAAGCCCGAAAAAAAATCAGCGATAATTAATGTCTCCACCAGAAAATAAACAGAAAAATGGATAAAATTGATCATTGATGTTCACAGCACCGGCAGCCACACTCACCCACGTCCTCATGTTTGGGGTCTGCTCTGTCGTCTGATGCTCTGTCTTCGGGGCGTCCGCTTATATACGGCACAGCAACCTGCATGGAGCTGACTCACTCGGATCACCAGCGCGGATTTCCTTCCTTTGGTTATCACTGATCATGTCTAAAGACCATCGAAAAAAGTATAGACAAGTTTAGTTTGAACGCCATTAACACGTTGACTCCGATTGCTTCACCTTGCAAAATTATTTCATTTTTTTGTATTGTTTAAACAGGGTAGCCAGACGGTCATTTTTTCCGGATAAATTCCGCGATTTAGTTTTTCTCAATTGCGTTGGCCGGCTAAAATTTATGATATGGGTACTTCCTAATTAAATTTTAAATACTGCAAAATGAAAATAAATGAAATTTTTATAGCGGAACCTACAAATAAACTAGTATATATTGAGTTATCGGCCTTTCTGGCCTTCTTTGTTCTCGGATTTGGCAGATTTTAGGCAACCTGAATTATTTACAACTAAGTCTTGGAGAAGTACATTTTGTGGTACGCATATGTACCACTTCGGAGTCAACGCGGAGTTACATGAGAGCTCACAGGAAGGGATAAGTGAGCGAAGTGGTATAAATTGGTATAATTTATAATGGTATAAGTATAATTCGTATAATGTAGTATAAGTATATTGGTATAATTTATAATTGGTATAAGTGGTATAATTTATACCACTTCGCTCACTTATCCCTTCCTGTGAGCTCTCATGTAACTTCGCGTAACTATATATGTAACTATATTTGAACATGAGGTTAGTACTGATGGTAATGAAAAATATATAAATGGAAAATATAATCATGTCTAATAAAATTTCTTTCGACTAATTCCAATGCATATAATGATTTTCCGGGTATTTTGGGCAGTCGACACTGATATTAATTACATGATATTAATATCTGTAGACCTAGCAGGAGTCAAGTATGAATTTCATTATCTTAGAAATTATTCAAATAAATGATAATTTTTTCTACGATTTATAATACGAAGAAATTTTGGTTATATTGATCATGTGAAGCACGGAAAATGTCGAGATCATTCATTGGGTGTTTCTTTTATCTATTGATTCTATTCAGAGAATTTAAGATTTTTTTTTATTTAAAACAAAACTGGGTTGTAACTCTCAATAATCAATTAGGAAAATGTAGCAGAATATAAGTTGAATTCCAACATTTATTGGGAATTATAAAGCATGGATTCAAACAGCAGAAGGTTTGCATACAAACAGCCTATTAATAAACACAGTAGGTTTTTTGTTAATATATCAAATATTTGCTAGAGTTACTCGATCAGCTTAGCCATGACCATCCAAACAAATGACGTTGAAACATCGTTTTTCACAAGTTGATTTTATTTCAACAGCTTTCAATCAACGTACTTTCAACATAAGATACCTCTTGGAAAGTTTCTGTACTTTGAGCGTCTCTATACCAATTCTTATGACGCATATAACCACCCCGTATCATTTGTAAATTGTTCTAATCAATATTAAAGATTAGACTGTTGTGGTGAGTTAAATATCATAAGTAAAAATTAGGATGTAAAAATTAAATTTTGATCAATTAGTGTCAAGGTCTTCCATTTTTCTTATTAAGTAATGAGATCCTTCTCATTCAGTAGATAATAATTTAATAATATTTTGCATTCCTTACCGCAAATAATAGTTTTGACGGGAAACAAAGGAAAGTTGCTTCCCATCATGATCATCACAAGGCATTTATGTAATTTTTAACATCATGCACGCATATTTACTTCACTTTAATAACGGAACACTTTAGCAGCACTATTATGCTCTTTTTAGACTGAATAATTTCTCACAACATGATAGTATACTAAATTCAGCAATAGATTTCAATTGAATAAAGTAATTTAGAATGTAATGTCAACACCAATATTTTCCAAAGAGACTTTAACGCTGCTTAGATAGTAATCCTTGGCGAAACATTTCGACGCTCCGGTCCAAAATACAACACACAGTGGCTATGACTATTTCGGATATAAAATTTGGCGTCTAGGAAATAATTTGAAGTGAATCAATTGTCTTATGTTTCGCTTCTCAATGATGCATGCCATATATTTTGGTTAGCAATAGTTTTTGTATTTTCACATCAGTCATTTATGACTTTCCTTGTCTAAAGGAACGAAGTGTATGGAAGGAAACCTAGTAAGTGAAACATCATAGCTTTAATTAGATAAGTTTAAATATGTCTTAATTAGAATAATGTTTATGATAGGTGAATAATTTTATCTATTATTTATTTCTCTGTACGTTGAGTACCATTACTTATTGTGTATAATGAATGCATTATAAGGAATGAATGAATGAATGTTCCTCTCCCTTGTGTATAATGAATGCGTTAGATACAACTTGCTAACATTCACTTTCCCAATCAATAAAGTCCGTTGCTTGAAAAATAGCCTGGCAATGCTAAGCTGAGACTGGTATTTCTTTCAAGCAAGTTTCAAAGTAGGGCGCGTCAGCTTTCTTTTGTTATCAAAGTTTGTGTTATCTTACCCAAACTTTAAGAAGGAACAGAAAATAACGATCAGTAGAAAACGATTACAAGGGGTGACTGATATATTCGCCCAATGACTGAACTTTGTTTTGCAATCAGGCCCTTCAAGTTCTACTTATTCGGCAATGGTTTATGAACAAATGAATTTCAAAAATTATTTTATTGGCTTAGGTTAATTATAAAATAAAATTTCCCCAGTGAACAGAAGAATCCGTTTAACTGCAAAGAGAGTTTAAGTACGAGACAGACATTTAACGGTACTTCGAAATGAAAAATAAATAAGGTGTGCTAGGCATAAAAAAATAGAAAATGAGAAATTATTTTTTTCAGTATTGTATCTAGGGACATTGGTCGTTTAGGGGTCTCCTACATGTAATGAATTTAATTGTCAATGATGGAATGTGCAGAATAAAATAGTTTGCCAAAATTCGTCTCTGACATTGTCAAACTCGTTTTTTAGCGACAAATTCGGGTAATCAATCCTTGAATTCAGAAAAACGTTCTGCAACAGAAATTAACAGTTGTTTCTAGCATGAATCGTTGTTTTAAAAACGGCTTCGTTGTACAAAATCATTCGATGTTTTCTCTCGATGATCGAAATGGATGTATTTCTGTCTGTTTCGAGGAAAGTTCATAGCAGCTCGACAATTTTTTTGTAGGAATCTAGAAGAATTTGAGTATGCATGATTTTGCAGCAATTCTATACGGATAATTGCAAATTTTGTGAGTTCGCTAGTACTCCTTACCTGAATTTCGCTTACATATTACTACATGCAACGTTAAATTTCTGCAACTCGGAGTTAAATTGAAAATCCCAGCATAATTGACGAGTTACCTGTAGAAATAACTAAATACTTTTCCGTTCTGGAAAAATATAAAGCTTTATGGACAAAATAATTTCCGAAAACTATATTTGAAAATAAATATAACGATACCCATTAATAGTATAATTTATTTTACGTAAAAAATTTCAATGACGCTTATAAAATAGACAATGAAGTTTCTTGGCTAAATTTGGCAAACTTCAATTAGAGTGTTAAGTCTTGCACGCATTTAATTCTTAAAATTACGATGTTTTGTTGCCGTCCATGATAATAGTTAAACCATGATGTGTAATTCCTTGATTCACATAGTAATTTTTTACCTGCTTCAAAAAATATTGCTGCGCGGAAAATTTGCACTTCGTAAATAGGCTCTGATGAATGAAACGGGTAATTTTGTCTGAATATAAGAAATAAAACGTGTTTGAACAGAAAAACAATTATAAATAATTATGCGTGCCTTTGTTTTTGTTTTTGTGATTATAATTTTTTTGTTTGTTGCGATTATATAAATATTGATGGCAGATTCATATGCAATGCGTTAAGTACAATTAATGCATATAGAATTTTTCTGTTTCCAAAAAATTATTGAAAGGAATGCGCACGTTACAGTGTTATGTTTGGGTAAAAAAAATCAAAATTCTTGCGCCAGTTTACTACGAAAAAATGTTTCGTTACCAGCAGGAAACGTGAGATTTAATTTTTAACATTAAAAATTTCAGAAACGAAGAATTTACATTTTACACAACATTTGATGAATATCGTACCATAAAATATTAACATTGTTTGGTTACAATTTACATGCTTGCAATTTTGAGCAGTCCATATTCAGTACAGACAAGCAGTATGAGAAGCAGGCGCCTGTAACATGTAAGATATTCCTTTCAAATTTCATATTACATAATAATGTTGGGAGTGAAGAAAAAAGCTGTGGACGGTGAGTGGACGTAACTATGATGGCGGTGACAGGTTCGTCCATGGTCGAGTATTAGAGTTTAAGTACATAAAAGAACGAAAGTTATAGATAAATAGTCCGAAAATCTAGGATATATATATCCTAGGATATATCGATAACTTATAGTCTTGAATCGTGCTTATTATATACCTGCGTTGGTATTTTCTTTAAACCTACGTTATGCCTGCTTCATACTTGGTGCTGTAACTTAGTCTTTACCGTATCTGATGAGTATTCAGTGGAGAAATATTTCAACGCTTGACCAGGTTTGAGAATAACATGCGGGCCACTACACGTGAAATGAATAACGTATTTGCACTATACAGGACTGGAATGTTGCAAACTCATCGTCGGAGACGTAAATGACGCTGAGACTGTAGAGTTAAATAGAGAGTTGCGAAGCATAGGAAATTGTGTGGTGTGATCTACATCGTGTTGCGTCACTACAATATGAATTAAACACAGAGCAAAATATGGTCTGAGTTCACATTGTTTGAGCTATACCAAATATTGAAAGCAGGTGATAAATACTTTCAACGACCGATGAGTAAATAATGCATAGCAAAGAAAGCTGCACAAAACTGGACGCCTGGAGCTTTCACTTTCTCTTCGATAAGTTTCTGTGGAGCGAAGTCCGTTAACTTTCGTAGCTGCAGATCCGACTCAGGACCGGTTTGGGCTGAAGGTAAAATTTAGTGCAGTGCCTCCTAAGGCCCGAGTTTTTGCTGCAGTAGAGTATACCTTAAACGTCGTTGGCACTCGATCCGACAAAGAAAGTGGTATAGTAAATCAAGGACCTCGCTCGGTTCTTCCTCTCAGCCGCGGTTGGGAGGAACACTTTCATTTTCTGGTGTTGTGTAAGGAACTCTCGCGCGTACTCACCATGTTTCCATGGGTGCAGCGGAGTGAGACTGACGACGAACACGCTAATAACGTTCCATTTATATACGGTGTATTTATTAAAGGTGTGCAGTACTATTGGTAAGAACCATTTACTCGTCAATTGGTTTTCATTTTCAAAATTAGTGGTACAAAATACTGCTTTAATTTATTATTCTGAGCTAAGATGCTCTAAAATAGAACACTAAATATCGAACTTCGTAGCCAAATGTAGACAAAATTGTTTGAAATGTAAAATCGAGGGCATCTATTTGACATGACGTATGTTAATAGGATTATCAAATGTTAACTAAATAATTTTTCATGAAATAAAAATTTTTATTGTAATTATGTCAATCTCGAATCCTATCAAAATTTACCTTTCATTCAACTGGTACATCAAAAATCACTCACAGACATTTTGACAATTTACTTCATAATTAAAAAAAACATAATACTACAAATGTAACAAAGATGAGGTATGGTATATAATACAATGACTAGAGGCAATGAATTCATGTCATCTACTAAAAGCGATTGTATGCAAATCCTTGCTGCTGTTTAGGCGCTTGATATTGTCCGCCTCCTGCGCTACCTCCACCTTCAACCAGGTTGCCTTGCGCATGGGCCGCTTGTGACAACGCTGTCTGCAGGTCTATTCCTCCTGGCAGGATTGGGTTGTCGCCGTCATCGTAATTGACGAAATAAACTTCCGGTTCTTCAGGAACTGAAGGAACTTCGATGATTTCTTGGCCAACCTTCGGTCGTTTGCTCAACACGTACACGACCGTCTTCTGCTCAGGAGGAGGAACCACGATTGGTTTACCGCCAGGGGTTCCCACAGGGGCCTTCACGAGGATCACGTCGATGTTCACTTCAGGTTCTGGAACCTTAGGTGTAATTGGCTTGTGAAGCGTTGGTCTAGCTGCAAAAACGTAGATTTTCCTTTTGACTTCAGGGATCCCACAGGTGCCGTCGGTGTTCAGGACTTCACCGTCTCCACACTCCCTGGCAGGAGCTCGGTATCCTCCAAAGGAATTCCGCCCTCCTCCGAATTCCTGGAGGGCTAACGTAGCCTCGCTGCCAAATCCGACATTGTTGTGTGCGCCACTGAATTGTGGAGCTGCGGACGCCACAGCCACCACCGCTGCTACCATCTGGGTGAATAAACAACATTCAGATATGGTAAAAAATATCAATCAAAGGCACATTATTTGATCTGATACTTTTCTCTAACGGACACCTTCGTCATATCGATGTCGTGAGTTGCATTTTAAAATGCTCATTATGAACTCATATATATAACAAGCTGGAATAATAATATTCATATCAAATGTATACCTAAAATTTATATAATAGCAACATCTTAACGAATATAAAAGACTTGCAAATGTGTAATTTCATCATATATTAAATTTACGCTTATTTTTTGCATGTAGGTATATTTTAACAGTTCTCTTCGTAACTTAAAACACGTACTGGCATAATCAAGAGTGAAAAATCTTTAAAAAACACAGCATCTTGAAAAGAGACATTATAATTGTGTCATTTCGCTAACTACAGGACTATTAACACCGGTTAGAGAAATAAATACAAAATTTATCCTATATTATATTTTCATTAGCCGAAAACTAAGCAAGATCATCGGTTGAAACCAAGAGCGTTATTGCTAGCTTCGAAATAACGCGCTATTGAGGGAAATATGTTGGTAAGTCTATAGCCTGCAACCTCGCGACAAAATTCCTAGACGCTGCACGTGAAAGGTCAGACTCCGTTCACCAGACATCACTGTTCCCATGTTATGGAGTGCGACGGAAGCTTGAAGCAGAATTGCCAGATGGTCTAAAAAGCGGCCAAATCCGCGCGTAAAAATGACCTATAACTCAATATATGAAAGTATATTTGTAGGTTCTGGTGTAAAAATTCCCGTTTTTACTTTTTTGCACTTATTAAAATTTAATGAGGGAGTACCGCTATCATAAATTTTAGTCGGATAACGTAATTGAAAAAAATTAAATCGCGGAATTAGTCCGGAAAGAAGCCCATCTAGCAATCCTGGCCTGAAGCTGCAAGCACACGCTAGTATAGGCAGAGCTTTGCTATTAAAGCTTATGCAAGCGATTTTGCAACAAAGTGATGCTGGAAATGGTTTAGAGCTCGATGATATCACCTTCACTAAAGTTGTAATAACGCTTGATGAACGTCATTGGTTTCAATTAAATGGAACTACGCTGCTCTTCTTCACAATCGTTTTCGAAACCGTTTAATCTGCTGCATTTTTTATCTAATATAATTTTTTAGCTACTATCATTTTAACGGAGCCATTAGCCGACATAAGTGAATGCCATCATGATGTCTTGCATACAAAAATTTCGAAAATAATTTGTCGTAAATTAGACACGAGTATTTGAAACAATTAATTGCAGAGAGCTGTTCAATCAAGACCTCAAGATCTAACGTCTATTCATTCACTGATCGTTGACAATCAAAACCTGTTACGTACTCACCAAGATCTTCATCACGCAGCGTCTTGAAACCGAGTGAAAGAAAGTTCAGCCGCTCCCTTCTATTTATAGTTTACGGTCCCGCTGTCTCTGGAACCAAGTCTCACTGATTGAGAAGTAGATTGAAGTAGCTACCAATGCTGGAATGTACCTCAAAATAGTACTAAACAACACTAGAGACGCAAGTTTTTGTGTTATTACTTACGGGAGGAGCCTAGCGCCCTCAACACCTAATGCCAGACGAACCAACCAGTGGCAGATCATGAACTGAGAGGCCACAATGCGCCTGACCGAAGACCGTGTACAGTCGCTCTGTAAAATGCCGCTCCTTTCTCACCATCACCTTGACATGAATTGGACTTTCCTCTATCATTTTTAATCGCTCGTATTTCCCCAAGAAAACTTGATGTTGACTGGCAGAGCGTAATAATTTTTTTATTTTTAAGTGGTGCTTGTGACAACCTGGTGATGTGGCCACGAGGTTGAGAATACTGCACAACTGTAGCAGTGAGTTGTGGGTTCGAGGCCCAGCTAGTTGTGGAAATTTTTTGATCTCTAGAATCGGCACTAGCTCGTATCTAGCCCAGTTTCTAACTTGGCATTTATATAGTTTTACGATGGAACTTTTCATTATATTCATGTTCTGCATGTGATGAAAGGCGCTGGAATCTCAGATTTTTTTAATTTTAGGCTTCACGGAGCTTACAAAAATAAATAGATACAAATTTGATCAATATTGATAGTAAAATAATTTGACATTCCATTGATACTAAAATTATTCAATGAAATTTTTCATGGAAAATTCTAATTACTAAAAGAATATAAATGTATATAGATTATAGTAAACTAATTTACAATTAGAAAATTCAGGTAGCAATAAAATAATCGTATGCTAATTAGTTAAATTGGGAATTGAGCAATTCATTTATTTTAGAAAATAAGTCAATAAATATTGTTTAATTGATTCGCCTCGGATTGCATCATCCACCCTTACCTCGCTCGCTATTATAATAATTAATATAATATTATTTAATACTATATTCTGGCCTTCATTCATTAAACTAATTATCTATCCTATTTAGTCAGCGATATCATTCCTCTCATCAATGCATATTGTATCATATCAAATACTGAATATATTGATTAAATTTTCAACTTTAAAATTTCTCATTGAAATCCAGAAAAAATGAAATCTTCACCTACGCACAAATTCGCTAGTCGCGACTGTGAAACAACTCCAACATATGCCATGGACAAGGAAATTAAATTACGAATACGAGAGAGAAAAGGCGAGTAGACTGCAGGATAGGCGAGTAGACTGCAGGATAGGCGAGTAGCCTGTAGGATAGGCGAGTAGACTGCAGGATAGGCGAGTAGGATGTAGGATAATAGCATGGAAGAACTGCATGTATCGCACTCTTCGGATGTTAGAGTGCAACTGGTGTGTTACGCTCAAAATTTGCATTAAATCTTTCTCCGTACGCAGAATAGCTCGGCACTAAAGAGACAATATTCCTGTACCACAATATCACAATAATGTGGCAACAACCATTCTGCTAATCTCACTTTGTTCAGCAATGAATATAATTTGTTTGATATATCTGCAGACATGGGAGCCTAATTTGATGTTAGCATTTTGTTGAGGGGGATTTGAAGTAAGGAAAGTTTTTACTTAAATATGAGCTGATCAAGATTTAAAAATTACAAACAGAACAAAAAAAAAAAATATTTTCCATTAGTACATAAACAGCCTAAAACACTAAAATTGATTCATTTATTTCTTTTTATATACAAACAAAAATTCTTCAAAATTTTCGTTATTTTTGTAGGAAGCTTCTCTCTGTACAAATAATGTTTCGAGCTTCAATGAAAAAATTCAATATTACTACTGAAATAACGTTGAAAAAAGTTTTGGAGAACTAACCTCAACAATCCGCGTCCCTGAGGAACTTAACCTAAGAAAAGAAACTTACTAAAGAAAGAGAGGCAAGAAAATGGCATAATCTGTGGGGCGACGTAAGGAGGATCTTAAGTTTTTGTTTGGAGAAATCAGCAAAGTCAACCACTTCGCTCACCAATCTACGCCAGCTCGCGACAAGTGCACCGCAAGCAGACCTACGGGCTCCTAAAAACGAGCGTAAGCTACGCAAGGGAAATTTATGTCTCCATCGCAACAAATCTACGATGATTTCCAGAATAAGCACCGATCCAGCAGCATATGTATGTAAATTCAATCCAAGCTTCTATGACGGAAAACTATTATATTAAAGCATAATTTGAACGAATATTTTCGCATATTTAAATTAGCAGTAGACGATGAATGTTGAACTTTTTGCGAAAAAACAATACGACAACAGCAATGGCCAGGTAAGGCCCACCCATGCATATTAAATATAAGCTATTATTTTCAAATATTTGTTATTGGAATGTCCTGCAGCATTAATTTATTGAGTTTAAATGCACCGTGCATGTGAGATGCGATTTTCTCTATCATATAGAGATAAAAGATTATCGTCAATATTTATAGTTACAATATTTTGTCTATCATATAGAGATATAAGATTATTTTAAATATTTATAGTTACAATATTTTGTCTATCATATGGAAATATAAGATTGACTTCAATATTTATAGTTACAATATTTTGTCTATGGGATGGAGATATAAGATTATCTTCAATATTTTTAGCTATAATATTATCTCTATCATATAGAGCAAAATGTTATCTGCATTCGGCAGAGAGAGAGAGTGCAGTTTTGTGTTCAAGACAGACATGCAGAAACAAAAAACCTATTGGCAATCATGAGGTTAATTTTTTCCCCAGCTGTACTTATCTCGTGGCAAACTATATTGTTTTTTATTATTTATCTCGGTCTCAAATGGAATATGGATTGAAATTTGCGGGGTTAGATGAATTTCCTAATATAATTTGTATCTGATAGATAATTGTTTATCATGTTTATGTGATTCTGATGAGTTTGGTCGGGAGAAGCAAATGAATTTAAGAATCTAACTTGAACGAATATTAGCAACAAACAAGTTTCTAATGAATTAAACTACCATAATAAAAATATGCAAAATTGTAATTTTAAAGACCCGTATTTAATTCACACACATTTTTTAATGAACAGTATGGAAATTTTGCTAAATTTCAAGTGAGTTTGAGTGAGATTTGCCTGTAGCTAATTCGGTGATTGGGATAGTTCTGAACAAACGTTCATTTATAACATCCACATACTTACTATCAGTTCAACGAATAATAATTGATATATTTCGGTCTGAATAACAATAAGTCACTGTTTAATGTGATCATTTATTATTATTAAAATTAAAATGATTGAAAATTTAAGTAATCAAATGAATAACTTGAATACTCTGATTAGTGTTTTACGAAATCTCTCGGCAGCAATTTAATTTAAACTGAACGATTCAAGTTCAGACGCTCCAGGGTGATCTTCTGGCAATTTACTCATGATTCATCAGCTGAATGTTTCAAGTTCACGATAAATAAACATTAATCTCCTTGTCAACATTGAACGATCGCAGAATTGAAGCGAATGTAAGAGGAATAGACACGAATGAGCATTGAATGGACACGAATAACCGATCGCTGAACTGGCGTGAATGAACGAAAAATGGACACTAATTAATATACTATATATTCTGCACGGTCCTGAAAAGTTCGCTGATTAAAAAGTCTATTCAAGTTGCAGCAAATCCTTTCTTGGTTCACTTAGAAGTAAGTCCCCAGCCAACAAACGCAGAGGTTTCTTATCCATCACCAGCAAATAATGTAAAGGCCGTTGTACTATTGCAAAAACATCAGCAGGCATACCAACAAATTAGGCTTGCGCTACGACCATAATTTATGTTGAACTTTAAATAGAAAGGGAATCATGGCATGGAAAGTGGCAAGCATAAGCGGGATTATTGGCATGTCGATTGCATACCTGAATCTCAATGGCCTTCAGCTTGACATCCATGTAAACATCACAGGCAAGGGGATGGAATAAACTTTATAATATGATTCGAAATTACCCAACAGGCAATGTCAGGTTGAATAAGCGTTGAAACAGCGTACTTCGCGACGTTGAAATAAGGTTGAATAGTAGTCCAAAATTAAAAGTGAATCAACGTCACTTTTTTCAACGTTGTACATTTTGACGTTGTTTCGACCTTGAAATCGCGTTGAATTCCGACGTTAAAAGCGCATTCATAATAAGTTTTATCAGATTAATGTGTTCTATCATGATTGTAGCATTCACGCGAATGAATTTCAACGTTGAAACAACGTCTAAATGTACGATGTCGATAAAAGGATGTTGCTTCAATATTCATTCTGGACTAATATTCAACGTTATTTCGAAGTCGTATTTTTGTTTCAATGTTGATTCAATCTGATATTGACTGCTGGGTAAAACCTGGAGGAGGGAAGAGAACGTTATTGAAGTTAGTATTAATGTTATTACCTCCTAATAATGTGATTTTATTAGGAAAATTCTTGTAAAATGAGAACTACCAACCCCGAACTAAAAATTCAATAAGTTAAACGTCATCGAAATTTAAGCATTATATTATCTATTAACAGCCTGCGTTGGACATATTAAAATACATTTAAGGCTCTCACTCATCTTTTCTACTAATATCCGATATTATGTCAACGTTGCATAACTTTTGGATCATGATTTGAATACATAAACATCGGAAAAATAGTACACTTCTGCAATATCAATACACTTCGATCGTTAGGTTTTCAGACTTTAAAACCTATGTATATCCTCAAACAAACGTGAAATAAAATAAAATCTACAAATTATTCTAAAAAAATTTCTACACAAGCTTTACTCAATTCAAAAAGTATGTCTTGATTAGAGAAATCCGATCCGGTTAAAGAAGTCAACAGTGAAAACAGCTTCATCTTTGAACGCTAACATTTAATTTGTTGATCAACAGCAGCGCGTAACTTGCGCCTAGTCACGCCTGTACGCAAGCGCGATGCGCAAACTTTAGGAACTGTTCATATTCTCCTCTGCACAGCGTGTCTCACTCTGTGCAGAGTGTCTCGCTCTGCACAGCGTGTCTCGCTCTGCACAGCGTGTCTCGCTCTGCACAGCGTGTCTCACTCTGCACAGCGTGTCTCACTCTGTACAGCGTGTCTCTGCTCTGCACAGCGTGTCTCGCTCTGCACAGCGTGTCTTGCTCTGCACAGCGTGTCTCACTCTGCACAGCGTGTCTCGCTCTTCACAGATTCTTAAGGAGTACACATGGCGACACGGTATTTCCTGATACACATTAGTGACTCATAAAATATACAATATACATGACAAACAAAATATGCGGGATCTGGGATACATTTCTTACACAAAAAATGTCTTAAATGCTCCAAAAATAATCCATCATCCTATATGCGGATCCAATAATCGTTTATTTTCTATTATTACTTTACCGTGTAAATTATTTGATAATTATCCGCTGTTTTAGATCATCCGGTTATTATTAGGTTAGGCTCCGGTAGATGACTCCGGTATCGCGGCTCCGGTAGATGACTTATTATTAGGTTAGGTTAGGTTAGGTTAGGTTAGGTTAGGTTAAGTTAGGTTAGGTTAGGAAATAATTAATGCAAAAATCCGTAATAATTCCTGCGGCAGCGTATCGATAATTAATACTCACATTTCAAAATTCATGCAGATCCCTCAAATGTTGAAGGAATTATGAGTGGCCCAGTTGCTTAAAATATGTTTATTGGATTTAATTAAAAAATAATTCATGTAAAAATCTGTAATAATTCCTGCGGCAGCGTATCGATAATTAATACTCACATTCCAAAATTCACACAGATCCGTTAAGTATTGAAGGAATTACGAGTGGCCCAGTTGCTTAAAAAATACATTTAATGGTTTTAATTAAAAAATAATTCGTGTAAAAATCTGAAATAATTCCTGCGGCAGCGTATCGATAATTAATACTCATATTCCATAATTCATACAGATCCGTTAAGTATTTAAGGAATTATGAGTGGCCCAGTTGCGCGAGTCCGCTGGCGAGTCCGTTGGCGAGTCCGTAGAATTGTCGATCGAGTTACGTTCACCATCAAATTTCCGAAATTCGCGTGTTGTGTGCTTTTCGCTTTAATCATAAATCTGCCCGACCCACGTTTTTTTGGGGCGAGCCATAATTTATTCTCTACTTTTTAGTCCAAAAGAAAAACGTGGTTTTTAAAAAAGTTTTTTTTTAAGTATTTTATTTTCTCCTTTTTAGTCCTACATAATATTCAGTTTATTTCAGTTGGCCACGCAAATGCACGAAAGAAAATTCTTTTCGAAGTTCTGTAGAAAATTGTATTCGAGGGGATACATTGGTGCATGTAATTTCATTTCATATCACGCACCAATTGAATAAATTTCACGCATTTCATTGAATAAATACGCCTGGAAACGTGCAACATATTATTGATTATTGTATTGTCATCGGGAGCTGAGCTTCCCCAAAAAGATTCAGAGCGCTAGCTAGCGGGAAAGTTGGTGAAATATCGATTGCAAGATTTGATCATCACAGACGGACACGAAAGCGAGCTAAAAAAACGTCGTAAAATATAACTCAGTACTCACTGCAGTGAGTGACAGAGAGCGCATTTTCTCGTCGACGAAAACTTGAAGTCACGGACAGACTGACAGACATACGGACGGACGGACATGGTGAGCACAATAGTGCATTTTTTCCATAAATGAGAAAATGCGCTAAAAAGGAAATCGATTACGACTTTTACAAATCAATTACGACAAATCGATTACGACTTTTTTTTTACCTCGATAAAAACTACGCAATTCGACTGCCATTTAAGGGATAAATGTAAGCAAATGAATATATATGGGATAAGCATTGCGAATTATTTGGGTAGTTAGTTTTTTGCTGTTTCTATTGTAATTATCTTCTAATATAAATCAAGTGAGCTGGTCGAAATTGCTGATATAAAAGGAATGGACAACAACGATGTTATTTATAGGAAAGATAAACAACAATAAAATGATTTATTATATTGAGCGCAGACGCCTCATTATGCGATTTTTTTTGCTCAAGAATGATAGTGAGGCAAAGGAATACTGACGCATGAGGATGACGATGAGGATGAATTCTCACTTCCGGCCCCAAAGACATTTTTAGGCCTTAAAGAATTGATTTTTGGCACCAACGCTGATTTTAAATCCCAGGAATTTTTTTTACGACAGCCGCCATAATGGGTTGTAAGGGATAGAAATGATTGATATTTATATATCGGAGTATTGATTGTATAATTTGTTTATAGTCCGGAATTTTAAATTGTCATTTTAGTTTAGAGTTTACGGGAGGCTAAGTGCGGAAGGAGGAGGTGATTAGATTATTCTGTCGTGGAAAGCCGGAGCGGAGGTATGTGCTGTGTTAGATTGTAAATATGTAAATATATATGTTTATAGATTTGGTGCGGAATAGATTTGTGAATATTTAGAGTTTATATGCGTTTTAATGTTTGTTTACTGTCAGTTATTTATCTATTTTTATTTGGTTCTTTTATAGGAAAGCCTCAAAATGGAAATTTAGCCTCAAGAGCTAAGCATTGGGCAACTGATCTAATCATGTGGTGCATTTTTTAGATTACCTGGGCAACTGATCTAATCATGTGGTGCATTTTTTTAATTACCTGGGCAACTGATCTAATCATGTGGTGCACTTTATAAATTACTTAGGCAACTAATCTAATTATGTGGTGCACTTTCTAAATTACATAGGCAACTAATCTAATCATGTGGTGCATTTTCTTAATTACCTGGGCAACTGATCTAATTATGATGTGGAGTAACAACTTTCAGAAATGACCGTCGGGAAGGCAATTCTAGTACTTATTCATCGACGACAAGCAATCAATCTATGATAAAATTCTGGACATAGTCTTCTGTAATCTTTATCTTTTAGATTCTAATTCCTGAAGCTCAAAGGAAAACGCATCGGTTTAATTTTATTTTTTAAAATTCATTTATCTCTGGAGGATTTAAAAAATATACATATTTTTGAAAATAACTATCGAATGTTATTAAATGCTCACACAATTCCCACACACTCCCTGCCTTCAGTTGGAAATTTGGAAATAATTGAAAAAGATAGTATGGTTTTCAGTATATTATATGAACAAGTTACATTAGATCGATAGAAGAAACATCATCTTAACAATTGAATAATGACTTTTCCTGGGTCACTGAGGACAATTTCAAGCATTTATAACAGGTTGATTTATCAGGTGCCTGTGGGTCTATGCGTAGCCTGAACTGGGGACTGGAGGGCTGCTGTATCCACCACTGGGTTCTGGAGGACTGTAACCACCTCCAAGTCCTCCACCACCACCGCCGCCAATAGCTCCACCGCCATATCCACCACCGCCTCCACCGCCACCTCCACCAATAGCACCACCGCCATATCCACCACCACCTCCACCACCTCCACCAATAACTTGTCCCTGAGACGCGGACTGGCTGAGGGCGGTCTGGAGGTCCACGCCTCCAGGCAGCTGTGGGTTCTCGCCAGGTCCGTAGGCGACGTAGAAGACCTCAGGTTTGGTGGGCGTTGAGGGCACTTCGATCACCTCCTGCTGCTGCTGGTCAGGTCTTTCACTAAGGACATAGACGAGCGTTTTCTGCTGAGGGGGCGGCACAACGATGGGGTCGATGCCCCCATCCTGCTCAGGGGTTCGAACGAACACGAAATTGTAGTGCACCTTCGGGTCCGGGATGTGTGGGGGAGGGGCGTACGTCTGCTCGTGCTTGGGTGCGTTGTACAGGAAGAGGTTCCGTGTCACGATAGGACGACCGCAGGTACCGTCAGCTTTCTGGACCTCTCCTCGACCACACTTCACCTCCACCTCCTCCACCGCCACGGAAACCGCCATCAGGAGCTGACGACACGCCAATGGCCAAAGCGCACAACAACTGTAAAAAATGAAAGCGTCTCATGAAACTTCAAGCCTTATTGGTTTCAATTTATCGTCAGTTCCATCACTAAATTCAGAAAAATTCTAAGTCTTTAATAAAGTTCGACAGACTAAGGCGGCATGAAGTGTGTCAGATAGATTCGCAAGTGACAGCCAGGGTATTTTACATCTCATCTGAATTAAGAAGAGGAGATACATTGTATTATTCACAAAATTTGAACCTAGAATAAGCCTTTAATGTAGGGTTGATCTCATTCACGAGTGAAAGGTATAGTTAATTAGTTTCACGGAAGTTGTATTTCTAGTACCCCATAACTTCAAATTTTATAGTAATGAAACTTCTATGTTTAGTATCATCTTAAGATGACGCGAGACCTGAAATCTGAAATTCTCTTCACCATTTTAGTTCATTTGACTTGCTCTGTTGAATAAATATAATTATTGTTTTTGCAGTGCACAAGCAACCGACACACTTCGCAATCCCAATTTTTCTAGAAGCGGTGAATTTCATGCGTCATGAACCCGACTCATCGTACGTCCTGAACCTCAGTCATCGTATGTCATTACGAGTAAGCGATCGCCTGGTACGACAACCTGGCACCTTAATATCATATAATTACTGGGCGTATTTTTATGGCAATGAAAAATTTGGCAATGCACAGCAATCAAAAAAATAATGAACTAAAAATAATTCAATATGAAGCTAAAATTATTTTGAGAGAATCTTAAAACTCAAGTTTTAGACACATGTACAATAATTACGCGTGTTAGAAGGTGACAATTTGTTTTAAAGTAAATAAATAATAAAAGATAAATCAATTGGAAATCAATTGTTGAAATAGTTATTTCATTTTGAGTTACTGGCGTTGTAAACTATCAGATGACGATAGTTAATCAGCGAATGATTATCGCATGCATATGCATTAATAATTTTTAATCAAAGCCTGCTAACGACAATCCTAATTACGAACCGGATTCATGTGAGGGAAGTCAACTAAGTAGTTACGAATAAGACGCATTTAAGCGTGGCTATTCATATTAATTTCCGCATAATACAGTTTTGAAAATTCATACACCGTTTCTTTCAACTTAAATTTCGTGTGTCGCTAGACTTGCTAGAATTCATTAATCTCAGACTAATTAAAACTTTATTACTATGCATAATAAATAAATACCAAAACATTTTCGTATCTCAAAGATAGAAAATATTCTTCCTGAGTCTAGACGGACGCGCAAGCATTGCATGCGTGTCTTGTCCTAGCATTGCATGGCATTGCCTCACTCTAAACATTGTCACTGCACGACATGATGAATGTTTTGCATGTTACGAACACTGAAGACTGTGCACGGTAGTCTTGCGTGTCGGTTAGTCAATGCAGGAAGATATGCTCGGAAGAAACACGGTTCCAGGTAATCAGCAACAACGCAGGACAAATGTCCAAGCAACATAGCAAGACAAGAAAATAAAGTAGAGTATGGCAAGGAAAACACTTGATTTGAGATCTAATAGCTGTAAAGATTCAAATTCAATGTAAAAGCAATCAGGTAAGTGATTTCAGACCCGCTGTCGTTCAGCGCGGGAACGAACATTTAGTATCCGCGACAAAAACGGGGGAATGGGAAACGCAATCTTAGGATTGAATTTTCGTTATTAACGTATTTTTTACTTCAGGACTGAATTGTTTATTGAGTTTGATTCATTCAACGCTGACCATGTAGGAAAAAAATGAATAAAGCACATGAATTCATTTGTTTATAAATACGTTCCAGGCAGAATTCCCTTAGAAAACAAAAGAAAATTGTCGTACAGAATCAAATGGAAAATTAATGCGTCGTGCGAGGGAAATCTTAAAATAAAGTTCAGAAGACGATTAGAATGAATAGTTGGATAATTTTCATATCGTCACAGGAGCAATTTCCTAAAATAATGACGTATGAGCGGAAACTGCCTAATTTATGATTGACCGACTTTTAAAAAGCGGGATTGATCAACATACAGTAGCATTGCATGCGAACAGAACAAGGATCTAATTATGGAATTGAAAGCATTTTGATTATTACAGTTAACTTAATAGGAGCTATGAATATGAGTACATATGAGTATAAATAATATTGAGTGTTAAGGATTTGTTAGTAGTGATTTGGGTCAATGAAAATTCTGGAAGAAATTTCTAAAAAATGAGTTAAATATTTTGGTAAGTTCTAAGGAGTGACTTTAGATCTGCAGTTATGGAATACTAAAATTTGCCCGAAAGTACTGCGAATAACGGGAAGGCCTTTAATTCGCTACAGATGTATGCAGATCTCTAAACAATTAAATTATTGTAGATTTTACTTCAAAATAATTAATGTATGCCAATAACCGGAGAATATAGATAAAAGTTAAGTAAAAATAGATTGGTAAAATATACGTGAAATTATCAGCAGATATTCCTTCCATCAGAAATGAGTAAATTGCCAACGTCTCGAGTAAAATTAGCAGATTTGTAAATGAGAAGTAAGTTACCTGAAGTTAAATAGACTAAACAAGTGCATAGTTCAAAAGCCGATTACAGAGTCAATGAATATCAAATCAATTCATTAATGTATAAAAGTTCAAACTTTTGTCTCTAGGTCTCTTCCAGCCGAGGAATAACCTATGTGCCAAAAATTTAACAATGGCCATGCGAAGTGTAATCTTGACTATCACAGTTGTAATTCCATTCAATATTGATAAATAATTATAATCATTAGTAAAAAACTGTATATAAATCATATTGCAATTCGTATATTTTATTTTGAACAACATTTTTTGAATAATTTGAATCCGAAATAAGTTAGACTGAAAGCATAATGACCTCTCTGAAGGATACTTAAATCATTGTACATAAGTGGGCATGGTTACTTGACAAATGAATAATTGCGATGAAATATGCAGGAATGAAATCAATCCATGACAAGTACAATGTTAACAAAATTATGCGAATTTAAGACACGTGAGTGCACACAGCTGTGTAACTCACCACGAGCTTCATGCTGTCGGATGATGAGTCTCGAGTGGTGGTCAACTGAGTTGTGATGAGGTGGTTAGGAGCCTCGGCTTATATAGACCTGCTGATGTATGGCCCACGGTAGCTGCAGCTGCTCCTGCAGTTACACGTTGGCTGCGTCACTAAACGCGCTGTTGAAAGCAGACAACCGCATCGTCAACTGCAACTATAGGGGTAATTGGGTCCAACGGGAACGCCGGAATTGACAGGAATATTGGAATATATTCGACCCTTGAGTAGGATATTAGGCCAATGATGACCACTGGGTTAGACCAAAATCATCGTGGAACGTAAAAAATTGATTGTGTAATGACCACATTAGATGCGCGTGTTTCAATGCCTCAGGTTCCAAGATAAGGAATTATCACGTAATATCGTTTAGAGCTTTTTACTGAAAGAAAATTTACAAATCTATTAAAATTTTCAATCGTTTCAATAGATTTTTAATAATATTTACTCCTCTTGTGGAAAAGTGTTGGAAAATTTTCGCAAAATATGAACTAGTTTGCGCATCATAGTGATTAGTGTTGTTTAGTGTTTAGTAATTAGTAGTGTTGTTTAGTGTTAAGTGTTTAGTATTTAGTGTTTCGTGTTTATTATTTAGTGTTGTTTAGTGTTTAACTATTTAAAAAGAATTATTATATATATATATTTTTTTTAGAAACTTGTAAAATTAAACATAGATGACGGAATCGAAAAATTTCAGTAAATTATATCAATGTTAATTAACAAATAATCCAGCAATTTGCAAAGAAGTATTCATAACAAACAGGTGTTGGTCAGAAGACGAAAAAGAAATTTAGACTGTTTTTAATTTTGTGAGCTAAAAGAATGCAAGAAAAAAAGTATATAATTAATATAATTAGGGAAGGGATGCATTACATCAAGAATGAAAATAACACATTGTAAAATGTCAGTAACGGCACTACTTCAATTTATATCTGTAAATTTTGATGCACAATAATATTTTATATATTTTCCCAGTAAAAAATTCGACATGCTTTAAATTTAAATTAAAAAATATTTGTCGACAACTCAAATGAAAAGCTGAAATGAGCAAATTTCATGTAGAAATTTATAGCTCCCATTGTAATTATTTATTATAATTATTTCCCTTGATATTCATGTTGAAATCAATCATGCATCTGGCCCATTAGTTTTCATGAATAAACCTCCGCCGGAGAAATACCACGGATTTCTCGTACATGATTGAATCTTAACACGAAAATTTCAAATAATTTAATAATATGTGTGTGGCAAGAATTTAACTTATTTCAGTGTTGCTATTGCAGGTATGACTTATCTAAATAATCGTGTTTGCAGCCACCCTCTACTGAGGTACCATTTGACTGCTGGTCTATCGGTATATCGGTAAATATTTTACTGAACTATACGTCGTAGCCAATATTGAGGCAGTTTAAACATTACCAATGTTAAGGCAGTTTAGGCATTAGCCAATGTTAAGGTAGTTTAGACATTAGCCAATGTTGAGGCAGATTAGACATTAGCCAATGTTAAGGTAGTTTAGACATTAGCCAATGTTGAGGCAGATTAGACATTAGCCAATGTTAAGGCAGTTTAGGCATTAGCCAATGTTAAGGTAGTTTAGACATTAGCCAATGTTAAGGCAGTTTAGACATTAGCCAATATTGAGGCAGTTTAGACATTAACCAATGTTAAGGCAGTTTAGACATTAGCCAATATTGAGGCAGTTTAGACATAAGCCAATGATAAGGCAGTTCAGACTTTAACCAATGTTAAGGCAGTTTAGGCATTAGCCAATGTTAAGGTACTTTAGATATTGCCAATGTTAAGGCATTTTGGACATTAGACAGCTAAAGCTTATGTGAAAGGTAGCATGCTTTACCTTAGTTAGTACGAGAGTGTATCGCGTAAGTA